GGCTGAACTCATTTCCCAGAGGTTTTAAAAGGGTGTACTTTCTCCTCAACTATTAGATAAGAGGGCTAATTTTATCCTTTAAAAGACATCAAGAACTGCAATTAGATCAATACATCCTAAGGCATTTCAGCAACTTCTAGGTCCTAGAAACAAAGCTCACCAGACCCTGGGCATGAGGCTTCACAAGAACACAGGTCCTGAGTGCCCCAGGTAGCAGCAAGGCTTGCGTCCCTTACTTGAGCAAGCAGCTTACTAATTAGTCTCAAAACCCAGATACTTTTTAGCACAGCAGCAAAGTCAGTCTCTGTTAGACTTGCAGGGGAAGTACAGCATTGCAGTGAAAGTTACTCTTCTAGGTGTGGACTAAAAACAAAACACTGTTTACAGTTTACTTATTAACTGCACAAGCCAAAACAAACAGTTCATTCGCATTTGACAGTAACATAGCACTAGGATTTAAAGATGGGTTCAGGCAATTTTGACTATTGCAAAAGAAAGGATCCCTCCCACCCCCTCACCCCAAGTCACGGGGAATTCTCCCATAGCGTACGTTAATTCTAAGCCTCCAAATTCATTGTGGCAAGAGTAATTCTTGAACACTGACTTCCATTCCCTCCCAACCCCAGGTTTTGTTTACCTCTTTCCACATAATGTTCTGCCACATCCCATTTCTTAGAACTGGAAAGAAAGTTTAAAGTCAGATTAAAGAATAAATAGCCATGATTGAGACAAATTTCAAAACAACTATTGCAGTTGAAAACACTGATCAGCATAGGAACTAAAAGAGATCAGAAATGTACTTCCCAGAAGCTGGGACCATAGTTTTGTTTGCAGCTGAAGGCATGTGAACCCAAGGAGGAGGAAGAATTTGCCCTTAGTATTTATATAGTTTTTATCACCTGCTAGACAACAGCCGGTGGCCTGGTTTCTTCTTGGCATCACTTCATACTAACCTGCAGACGGCAACATTGTTCTTCATTTGGAAAATGACCTTCCTTAGAACAAAGGGCATCACTGCCCACTGTCCACGAGTATCAGGAAGCACCTTTACTTTACCACAGAACTTTTGCTTCTCACCTTTTCCCTTGCATTTTATCCATAATGTTTTGACTCTGACACATCCAACTTCAGCACCATTGCCAATTGCCTTTACAAGGCTGAGGCTTAATTGCCAAGCAGGCTCAAAGCAACACTTAGCTTTGACAGAAGGCAAATCCTAAATATTAAAGTTCACATTGAAACAAGAAAAAAGCAAACAAGGTACTAAAACAGGCCATGATTTCTTTAGTGCCTCACTCCTATACTGCTATCTTAACACACTCATTGGTTATCTACTCTGAAACAAGCTTTTCCATCCAAGTTCTTCCTCTAGATGACTCTACGTGTATTTATTACTCCAGCCAAAACAGTAAACTGCAGCCAGTTTCCAAGAACGTTCAAAAAGTACAGTGTGCAACAGATTAAAGTTGAAGAGGTCAGTCCCCTACTTAGAATACAAACAATTTTCTCCTCAGGTCTATGAAATTCATACATGTGGCTCACTTGAAAACCATACCACAATCCCAGAAGCAAACTCTGCTGAACACAGCCTCAACCATCCTCCATATGTGCTGGTTTGGGCTGAAGTAGAGGGAAGTTCCTTCACAGTGACTAGTATGGGGCTATGTTTAGGATTTGTGCAGAATATAGAGTTTGATAATGTAGAGATATTTTTGTATTGCTGAGCAGAGCTTACACAAAGCCAAGGCCTTTTCTGCTTTCTGTACTGCCACGCTGGCAAGGAAGTTGGGGGCAAGTGGGAGACACAGACATGACAGGTGATCCAAACTGACCAACAGGATATTCCATACCATAGGACATCATGCTAAGTATGTAAAGTGGGGGGAAGGAGGAAGTTAAGGGGACTTTTGGAGTGATGGCGTTTGTCTTCCCAAGGAACCATTACACGTGATGGGCCCTGCTCTCCTGGAGATGGCTGAACACCTCCTGTCCGTGGGAAGCAGTGAATTAATTCCTTGGTTTGCTTTGCTTGCGCGTGTGGTTTTTGCTTTCCCTATTAAGCTGTATTTAATGTGGTTTTTGCTTTTCCTATTAAGCTGTATTTATCTCAACCCACAGGTTTTCTAGCTCTTACCCTTCTGATTCTCTCCCCAGTCTCACTGATGGGGGATTGAGTGCATGGCTGCATGGGGCTTACTTGCTGTCTGGGGTTCAATCACCATACCAGGATAGGCCACAGCACAAATGGGAATGCAAGACTTGTCAGAACAGAACAAGCTCAAGAAACCTATCCCTTGATTCCTGTCCTCAAGCCACACAGTTTGGAGCACTGAATCCTGATATTTAATATTGTGGTGAATGGATCACAGTGAAGTAAGTTATTTAACAAAAAATGAGTGGGCAGTGACAAAAGTAGTGCCAGTGGTGTGTCTAAAAACTGCTCAGCTTTCAACCAAAACACATGCATTTTAGGGCAAGAACAGTTTAGTTGTACCCCTTTCCTCCCCTCTTCCACACTGCTTGAATTGAGATATGCTTAGTTCAGAACTCAACAGAAGGCCTGAGCTCAGAATCTCAAATGAAAAGCTTAGTACCTGTGGCCTTGAATCAAAACTCAGACCCTCAGAGAGAGTTTCAGAACCTAGCATCTCCGGTGACTTGCTTTGAACAACTCCCTGTTCCACCAAAAAATCTGAGATGTTTCAGCCAACAGTTACCACCGTTGTATGTTCATGGCAATGAAGATATTTACAGCTTCAATTGTTATGAACCTGGTCTTGTGGACAATTTAGTTCAGAAAACAATTTTGCATCATGCTTAGTGAATTGAATTTGACTATTAAATAGCCAAGCAAATTACTGAGGCAGCTACTTTCTTTTAAGCTCATAATGCCATAATCTAAAGAGAAAGTTTCTATTAGACATAAAACAGTTCCAAAATTCTGAGGTTGCAATGTTGCACCTTGTACCCTGCTTAACCCAGTTTTTCAGGCATACTCCAAAAGGACAGGAAATAACAGTTCTCCCCTCTAGAATATTAATATGAGGGTAAAATTGATGAATTATGCATTGTCAAAAGGTACTGGGTTAAGGTAACAAACGACAAGTACCCAAGAAGACCACTCCAAATCCAAAACAAGAGTTTCAATATAAACCTTCCACCTAAGACTTTGCAAGACTAAAACCCCGTGTATCAATGTTCTAGACCTAGGACTTAATGCTGTCACTCACACCTAGGCAGTGCAGCTCCTAAAGGGCAAGCATTTCCCACATCTTATGCCACAGGTTGCTAGCCCTGTGCTTGTGTACTATTTGAGCATATCCCATAGAGCATTAAATGCTCATTGCTTATTCTGCTACTTGACAATCAGAGGATCAATACACGAAGAACAGTTACTACTGAGCTCTCTATGTCCATTCAATATGCTGCTCAGAGGCTTCACTCGTGGTTACATGTAGCCTGGTCCGATACACTGTCATCTCCATACACGCTATGTGAAGCCACCCAAGGCATGAAACACTGGCTCAGAGCCTAACACACTCTAGCTTCTAATGGAGATGTACACTGCTCAATCAAAGCTGTTCTTTCAGTTTAGTTTCCTCCAAAGAGAATTTAACTTCTACATATCAAAGCCACTCAAAGTAAACTGATGCTTTCAAGAGGAAATTTAAGATAGGAAAGGCACTTGGAAGATCACAAAGTTTTTTTGAGCTGTAGTGCAAAAGCCTACACAAATGCCTCTGAAGTAAGCAGCTGGCCATTGGAGGCAGTGGAGTTCAGGACACAACCAAGCAGACAGCAGGTGCCTACTTCTGAGTGAACTCAACTGCTGTATACTAATTACATTGATTAGACATCATTTGGCTATAAGATAAACCTAAAGACACACAAATAACCTAAATTTAATTCATCTTAATCCCACTCTGAACCTAAATTAACATTCCATTACTACAACACGTCTCAGGAATGAGCCTCTTTAGGCTTCCTCTTAAGAAGCATGAGGATACAGTTCTGAGTATCAGACTTAAAATTTTATTAAGAGTATTCAAACATTAAAAAGAAAAACTGTTTTGGTTCAGGTTTATAGTCCTAAGTTCCTGCTTAGCTTCATAAGAATACCTTGTGTTCTTTAAGGTTGTCTCTCCATAGCTACCGCGATAAACTTCCCTTGCAGTGTTTATTAACACATACTCTCCACATATAACTGAATTCTAACTGCCTCTGTGACCTCTGAAAGAGCCACCTTGCATATTATCTATAACAAGGTCTGTTACGCCACAGCCAGTTAATTGCTGATTTCTCATGACTAATAAATACAGAGTTCTAGAACTTGAAACATCTTCCCAGGCTCTTGTAGATAAATTACCTTGGCAAACTGGTAAAGCAAAGTTTTTGATGTTTAGTAATACACAGTCTTCATGATCAACCCTGATTTTCAAGTGCCAAACTCACTGAAAATAACAGGCATAGTGCTTGCAGGACTATCTGAAGCATGGAGCTGGCAGGTTGTTCACTTTGCCTTGTTCCTTTGAGTATTCCTCTAGCTTTTAGACACTTCAGGTGAACGTGTTTGGGAGGAAGGGGCTCTATTCAGAGCTCAGGTCCCTTATGTTCCCGTTTTACCCACAGATCTGCATGGAGGAGCAGCAGAGGAGCTGTCCAACACAGGAACACGCGGCTGCCCTGACTGTGGCACAGGCCCATCACAGGGAGGCCATTGATAAGATCTTCCTTTTTTCTGCACAGGTTTTCAGTTAAGAGTGGTGAAGAAAATGAAAAGTAATGTTTTCAGGTATACAGTGCCAAGTAGTGTCAATACACTAGGGATACATGTAGGCATTCAGTGGATATCAGTGTTGAATTCTCCCTCAATGACACTTCAGGAAAGCAAAGCTACAAAATCCACAGACTTCTTCCCATCACTCAACAGCAGCAGCATTTACGAAAATGACTTGAAATCCTTCTGACACCAACTTCTAGTGCTTCAGGGGTTTGTTTTCGCTAGTGTTGGGGTGGATTTATTTTGGGGGGGTGGCTTTTAGGGCTTTTGTTGTGGATAGTTTGGTGTTGGGTTTAGGGGTTCTTTTTTAGAATAATCAGAATGGAGTTCA